AAGGAAGAGCCAGGGAGAGCTACAACAGGGAAGAGCCTCTGCTTTTTCTCTACCCTCCGCTAAGAATAAGGAGACAGCATGGGGGACAAAAAGTAGGGAAAAGTGAGAGAGGGGATGAGCAGAGCTATCTTCCCCAAATTCAGTCCTCCTTTGCGGGCCCTGCAGTTACAAATGGACTGATGGGTGTTTCCTTGTAATGCTGAAGCACTAACAGGGACCGGTTTTGCGTGATACTGGGGCACAGGAAACAGATCAGGTACCTTAAAAGAAAGAATCCAAACCTCGCTTTCTGAAACCAAAACTCTCATAGCCTCCAAAGGATACCAGTATGCATATTTACATTTAACTTGACTACGACTACAAAACCTGCTGGCCTCATCTGATCACAAACATTCTCAGTGCTTTTTAAAATCAGTCTTGCAGGTACGCAATCTTCCCCACATTCCAGTGCCATAACGCTGTGGTTAACCTGCCTGCATCCTTGCCACTCTGTCTGGACGCCCCGCATCTGCTGTGCTTCCTGACCCTGCCTCTGGTGCCAGAACAGCAGAGCAAAGCGACACGACTTCAAGCGAAGCATCAGCTGTAGCTCTGGCTCCTCTCAGCCTAGCCACAGCCACCCCAATGGCCTTTTGCTCATAGGAGAACATTTTGCATTTCATGTTTCAGTTGTAGATGTGTTTTCAGAGCTTTCTCTGCCTCTTTTTGTTAGTGATTAAAGATAACTGGCCATAGGTGAGTTTGCATGAAATCCAGTAACAAGCATGTTTTATTTTGTGTCTTTTATGTAACAGCTTCCAAGCACCAGGACTACCTTACAATTCATCGCATACTGGGGTCACGAATTTATCCTCCCAGAGCAGAACTACTAGGAGGAGATTTTTTGATTACAAAGAGAAGAAGATCATGATTTTACTGCAGGAAAACCATGGATCACAGCTGGGTGTGGGACTGGAAATGAAATATTTTTTTCAGGGTGTTTACATTTTGTTTGGTTATTTGTTTGCTTTACATATAATCCCATAGCGGTGGGTGGCACGGAGATCATCTCGATAAACAAATGATCTGGAAAGCAACCTGGCGTTTAATTTCCTCAAGCCATCAAACCCTCCTTTACTCATACAGCAGCATGCCGATCTGAAACCTTGACTCAATATTCTGTGTAACTGGAGGGGGGGAAGGATGAACTGTTGGTTTTTCTTTCCCACTTTTGTTAAAAGGCATCCAAGCATGGCTCTTCCTACCCTGACTAACCTGGGTAGGTGCCAGACGGGTTTTTCCTTTCTCTAGGCAATGGCTCAGGAATTTCAGCTGGCTAGAGCTGAGGCTGTGGGCTTTTCACTGGCCTTTTCTCTCCAGTCTACCCTTTCTCAGTTAATCCCATCTCTCTCCCCACATCCACTATTATCTGGACTGTAAGGCTCCTCGACAATCAGCTTCCAGAAGACTAAATTCTGCCTTTTCCTTCCGGAAACAAAAAGATGTGCCTGAAAGAAAAGCTTCCAGTCACTCGTGGAAAAAGAAATTAAAATCCTGAGGCAGTGCCTACGGGAGAAGGGTGGACGGCTGGCCAAGACAGCATGCTGGCCTGGCTCTTTAAAAATGAATTTATATTATGTAGTTCCCAGTATTTATTATGGGTAGCTAACCTTAAGAAAACACAATTCTCAAAAATACAGAAAAGTTCACAAGCAAAATTTAATGTCCCCATTGACTAGAATAACTTCACTGCTTTCTGTGCTCTGCAACAAACGGCATGACACACAACCTATCTGGATTTAACGTGAGAAACGAATACCCTAACCTAATCCCATAACTGCATAATGGCTTTCTACACCAACCAAAATCTTTGTCACTGCTTTTCTTCATGTGCAAAACTACCGTAAGCACTCAGGGGTTTCTTTTGCCTAAATTATACCTCTTTCTTCCTCCTGTTTCCTATCAAGCTCTCTATCAAAAAAACCTCAAAAACCAGACATCTGAGTTGTACCTCACTACCCAAAACATCTCCTCTTCCAAGGAGTAAGCTGTGAGAAACGCATACAATTTGTAATACTACACATTACTATGCTCTCAAATCTCTCCGAGTACTGAGGATTTAAAGCTTGCCGTGCATGCCTGTGACCTGGGATGCTGAGATTCAGTCGCTGCAGCACGGCTCTGTCGAGAGAGCCCTGGCCCGTGGACTCAGCACCAACGCCACAGCCCCCAGATCCCGCCCGGCAGCACCCTCCCAGCACCAGCACTGCCCAAACAGAGGAGCCTGCGCTTGCCGGAACAAACCTTGCTGGAAAATGGCAGCTGAACCCTAAAGCAAAGAAAGCACTTTGGAGCCGAAGGCTCCCATTTCACCTGACAGGCTATTACAGTACTCACTCTCAACTGCACTGAGAAAACTCCAAGGATTTGCCAATTCTCAAAAGCATAAACAAGTTTCAGTTTCTCTTTCGTTTAAAAAAACCTCAGCTTTTCACTCAGCCAGCAACTGACTTGCACTGTTAGACTCTGGGTAAGTTTTGACCATTGGGAAAGTATTTTTTTAGAGGAAACAGCTGTCCCCACTCCTTACTTTCATATTTTTTTCCCCCTCTCCCCCCCCAGGAGACAATTCCCAGCACAAACGCAGGAACACTGACTAGCCTTTAGGAGAAAGATGCTGTCTTAATCGCCACTTTCTGTGAAATTCACTTTACTGTCAAGCATTTTTTAATATAGCATTATTGCCCAAAAAGTAAAAACATAGAAGGAAAACCACTGCCTCTCTGTGAAACACGTAGCATCTTTGACAAATAACACTAGTTCCACCCCCCCCAAAGCCTAGGCCCAACATCATATTTTCACTAAAATTTCCTAAAATAAATCTTTAAAGATAGCAGAAGTACATATTCATTATTTGTCTACTTTTTTTTTCACATACAAATTGAGTACAGATTACAACCCTGCCAATTTTGTTTCCAATAGCATAGGAAAAATAAAACTATGACAAATCGCTTTTATTACTTCCTTAAACAAGAACTGAAACTTGTCCAAAAAAGCACATGAAAGACTAACTTGGATGACTTGAGCTTTTGCCAGGTACAGAAGTGATATAATAAAGCAAAACCTTGCATGCATATTAATAGAGGAATAATGAACTGGGCATTAAAAGAACGCTCGGTTTTAAAAGCACAAAGGGGGTTAATTGGTTCATTGATTGCTTGCACTAAAAATAAAGCCAATTTTCAATCAAAATGATACATGACTTATTTTATATCATGTTGTCTCCCACCTCTTGTCCTGAACTCCTCCAACACTGAGCAGCCCTATTGACTTCGGGGGCATCTCAGTATGCTGTGATGGTTCACCAGGCCTGATTTGACCAGCGGCACAGTAATTAAGCACGGCCTTGAAGGAACAGTTTCATTTGTTTGGCACAAGAATTGTGACTGCACTGAGGAATTGCTTTTTGTGTTTGTCTAGTTTCCCCCCTCTTAGGACGCAACCCCTGCCGCCCCTGAAACCAACAGGAACTTTGCAAGGGTTTAAGAGGAAGCAAGATCAGGTCTTACGGGTCACATCGCTTTTGCCTGGGGAGAATTACACTGGGAACAAACTGACCCTTCCGAGGGATACCTGTGGCTCTAAAAAGCACTGTTGTCACCCAGCCAGGGGTTGGCTCAGCACAGGGGGTGCCTGGGGCGGGTAGGAGAGCCTGTGGGCCCACTGCTGCAACTGTGGCCAAGATGCTCTGTGCTCTGGCCAGTACTCTGGGCTTCTCTGATCGACTGCTTGAACCTGGGGGCCAGCTTCGGCACGGGGTTCTGTCAGCTCAGCAGCTCAGCTTCGCTGGATGTTGCACCTGGGATACCGAGATTAGCGTCTGGCCCCGCATCTTCTACGGCGGAGGCAGACCCGGCTTTTGATGCAGAGGAACTGCAGTTTGCTCCTCCACTGCCGCCCCCCTCTTCTGGAGTTATAACAAGGAAAAAAGTGGTGTTGTTTCAATATATAACCCTGTGTTCTGACTCCCCACAAATCCTTCCATTTAGCCAAATGATACATTTTACTTAAGTACAGCCGAGAAGAAAGGCAAATGTGAGGGAGACATCTACCACTTCACCTAAAACTCCCTTTCTGAAAGCCAGGCATGAATCTCTCTTGAATGTATTACAATTCCTTCTCTGTTTACTTTAGGCAAACAGAAAAACTCATCGTGGAGCACTCATTTTCACAAGCTAATCAAGAACATGAGGTCCCAACAGATTCATTTAATAGAAATATAATAGGCATTCGTGCTTGCTTTTAATCTTGCCTAGCTGCAAATGCTAAAATGAACAGCGAATTAACCCTGCCTTGGAACAGAGATCCTTTCACAGCTGATATCATCTCTCTTCCGGCTTGTAAACACTCCAGGCTCCCTGTATGTGCTTTCCTGGCTTTTGCTCTTGCCCCGCCGCAGAGGAGAGGAGAGTGGAGGAGAGGAGTGGAGAGGAGGAGAGGAGTGGAGAGGAGAGGAGGGGAGGAGAGGAGCGGAGAGGAGTGGAGAGGAGAGGATGCTCCCGCCTGCATGCAGCTAGGAAGAGGGGGAATAGGCGAGCTCTAAAGGGAGTACCGCGTGTCAGCAGAACGAAATGTGGCGACGCCGCTCGAAAACAAGGCAGAGCTAAATCGTGGATGGGAGAGTGAGTTTCGGGGCGCCTCGGGGGTGGGGGGGGGGGGGGCCCTTTTCGTGCATCCCCAGTCGCTCCCTGCATGGCTCTCCCTGATTTACCGTGCAAGACAAGGTAGTACGACAAGGCCATTCACGTGCTGTCATCAAATATAAGAGATTTTTCAAGCAATCTGAGATCTTAAACGGATAGCAGAACTAGCATTAGAACGCTAAACAGGAAAAATAAAAAAAAAAACACCTATCTTATTTCATAATGTATGTCATAATGAACAAAAGCCTTTAAAAAAAAAAACGGTTTTCACTGTGCTAAAGTAACAATCTAGACTTGTTGTAAGTATGTTATTCTTACAAGTAGTTCGCAGTTATTCTTGAAGGCAAGTCTTGGAGTTTCCTTAGCATAGTGCTGCTGGGGAAAATTTTCAGCATGTCCATCTTCATCTCTAGCCTGAAGGGAAATATAATGGCCTATTTAGGGACTTACAAATAATGGAAGGAAAAAAAAATAGCTAAAAGCATAACAGCTCAGATCATTAAAACAGACGGGAATCCCAAAATACAACATTATTAAAAAGTTTCTTTAAATACGCAGTACACCTTTTAGATATGAGAACTTGGGATGCTGTTTTCTTACATAGCTTAGGTTGAACATGCAAATTCATTGTGGTGTAATAATTAGAACAACAAAAGACAAACCCAAAACGAAATATTTGAGCTGGAAACTGTGAGTAACTCAGGGTTTCAATTTACTCCATTGCATTTTTCAGGATTACATTACATATGTACTCATTCAAACTTTTGGAAATGCTTAAGCAATCCCTAGATAATGTACTTGTATTTTCAGTTTAACAGCAAGGCCAAAAAAAAAAAAGTTTTCATACTCATAATTTACACGTAATACTATTACAGATAAATGGATTCCCCCTCCATGTTTAAGTGAAGCTTTGAAAGGAGCAATCATCTAGCGAGAACAATGATCCTTCAGTCAAATGCGGTCAAAATATTTAATGACAAAGATGCATTAAAAGTTACCGGTTATTTGGAACTACGCTGTTAATTAAGAAAGCTGAAGTTTAAATGGAGACATTACCAGAGCCCATTAGCAATCCTGCTTGCATATAGTATATTTCCCTTCTCATCTACAGTGTTTTCTGCTTTCGAGTTAAAGCAAAAGGGAGAAGCAGGTGAAAGGAGGAGTGTCAGCAATACACTCATTACACTGTTCATTTGGATGACACTTGCACTCCGTTCCGCTCCATCTCATCTGATCCCTGACTGTTCGCTCTCTCCCTCTCGCAGCCTCCCGAAATTCACAGCTGAGCTGTCTCCCTCACATATGGCTTGCATATAATTATGCACATTCCATTTTACACTGCATTAAAATGATGAGCTCCTGGCTCCCTGCCAACCTATTTAAATCAGCCCCTGCCCGAAGAAGCCAGGGAGAGGAGGAGGGCAGAGCTGGGGGGGCGGACAGTCAGGGGGACGAGGGGAGCAGGCGGAGGTGATGGGGCGAGGAGCAGGTAGTCCCACTCCCCATCCCCCCAGATACCCCATGTCACCTCCCTGGGACGGGGGTTACGGGGGTGCCCGGGCACAACCTGTGCCCATCGCGGCGCCCGGGGCAGCGCGGGCGTATCCTTCGCCCCTTGTGCGGCGTGAACTGCCTGTCATCGCATGTCACACTCCCAGTGCCCAGGCTTTTTCAGCGTTGGCATTTATGAAAAGATATTTACACCTTGTAGGCTCTACGGCTTGTTTGCCTTCAAATAGGCTTCTGCCTCTCCCCAGGGAGACGGGGTGGGAAAGGGCAGCTGTGGGTTACAAGCACCAGGGATTTTTAGGAAAACGTGAAGAGGTTGCATGTCATCAAAAGCCCTCTGACTCCAGTGAGTTTTGACTTGGGCCCCTTCTTGTCAGCCATGGGGCATGAACAAACTCTGCCCGATAGAAAATACCATTTTTAAAAGTGCGAGGTTTGTCCAAAAGTATGTTTTGAGTAGTACCTACAATTTACGACTATTACAAGAAGTGGGAAGTGGGAAACAAGTTCGTTCTGTACGTTTCCTAGCAGCTTATAGGTATTTTCTTTCACTGCCCTCAATAGCTGCAGGGTGGAAAATGCTTAAAATTTTTCCTTCAGACCACAAGGAAGAGGCAGAGCATTCCTGAGCACCTGAAATCACATTTATACTGATGAAGGCTTAAATGTATTCTTCTAATTATTAGTTTGAAATTGAAACCTCTCTCACACAATAAATCTACCTCCCATGCTGCATGGAATAACAAAGTCCAAATTTGCCTGTGTTTTGTCAAAAAAAAAAACCAATTCTCATTTTGAAAACAAACTTTGTCCTTTGCTCTCCTCCATGAAGGAATATGGGCAACTCGCTGAAGCTCGTCCAGGTCATCTAGAAGACAAGTGGGGGACGAATGCTTTAAAAATGCCTTGCACAAATAGAAATGGACCTGTCAGCTCGGGATCACAGGTGCCAATGGGATGCTCAGTGACAGAGCGCTAGCGAGACGTTGTGTGGGGCACAGGTGTCACGTAGGGCTCTGAATGCTGCCGCTGCCCCCAGATCCCTGAAATTGTATCTTGGCACTATTCTAGACATTGTGCACGTGACGGCTGGCACGTTGTAACCTGCCAGTGACCCTCTGGAGCATTATCTTGGTGCACGCACACACCTTGTAAAATGAAATGGATATCAGGGTGTTTGTAGTGCATGTGTCAAAATATAGAGACAAACCTCACCGACCTTGACCCGCTTACTAAAGTTGCCAGTTACACACAGGTTATTCACCCCTGCTGACGGCAACCTGGCCCCCCTCCTACTGATCCAAACCTTATTTTATTTAATTTTGGATGTCACCAAAAATTCCTAGTCTCAAAACCAGTTTAGCTACATACTGCTATCATTTACTCAGGCATCAAAAGTAAACCTAGTTTAGCTAGCTGCTTTCCGTTGTAAAAAATCCCTGTTCTCAGCAGTCAGGGCTAATTCTCCAGTTGCTTTACATGAATTCATTACTACCATCTTCCTATTGTAAATAATTTGCAGAAGCAAATACTCTTACAACGTTCAGCGCTGTTCTAAGTGTATTAAAAAAGTGGCTCAGGGTTTATCTTGCCATGGTAATATTGTGGCATGTCTGCATCTATACCGACTCACTCTCAGTCGCTGCTGCACACCAGCAAGCGACTGCCTCAGCTCCCCAGCATCTCGACCTCACTCACAGCAGGCTGGCATCTACAGCTTCTCCATCAGGCCTGGCTGCCATGGGATGTATTTCATGTGCTACTGTTTGAAAGGAAGCAACTGGAAAAAAAACAAGCCGAAACTGTGACCTCTCTGATTTTTTAAAATGCTTTTAAACTGCTAAAATCATTATAGAAATGCTTTTTTCAAAAAACGTATGTCCAAAGTGCTAGATGCAATTGTTTGCATATATGCAATATATGGTACAGCTGCTCTCACAGCACGTTTTGTTCCAGGACAAAAAAGGCTTCAGCTCCTGTTCTGAGGCCTGGGACTGTGATGAGCGCTGCCAGTTTTATCAGCGCAGAACTGCTGCAACTTCTCTGTGGCAGCGCCTCTCCTGGGACCTACTGAATCTCCTAATTCAATAGCGTCTACTGGCAGGCAGCCGCCTTCCCATCAGCTGCCTGGGATCCGAGAGGGAAACCTGACCATCACCAGCCCGTGGGATGCCGGGCTGGACGCTCAGCAAAACCGGCGGCGCTCACCCTGCCCCGGCTGCTCCAGGCAGCAGAGACCACCTTGCCCAAGGAACGGTGTTGGCAAGGAAGATCTAGCAAGGAAAGTGCAGTCGACGTGGTGGAGCTGGCTCGGCTGTAAGGTCAGCCTGATGACGGGTTTTGCGGGCAGCCATGGCCATTAATTGCAGGTTAGATATCAGGAAACCCTTCTTAATGATAGGTACAGCAAAGCGCTGGGGCAGATTGCCTAAGGACACTGTCAAAGGCCCATCACTGGAGTTTTTTAAGAGCAGATTAGGCAAACACCTGTCAGGAATGACAGGCACAGAGTAGCTCCTGATGTGGGGAAGCTGGACGGATGAGAACATCTCCTTTCCCAGGTCCCTTCCCTCTGCTTTCTAGCACTGAGCTTTGAAGGAAAATGGCAGGAGGGTAAGGAAAAACATAATTTATAAAAGAACAGAAAAAGGGATCTGAAAGGACCTCTTTGAATACAGAATCGCATTTGATGTTCAGAGATATGTGTACTCGTTAATAAGTGCATGATGACAACTATCTTTGGCTACATAAAGTGTGCTATCTGTTAGTAAGCCAGCCAGCCTATATTTGTGAAAGATGCCAACAGTTTGGAAACAGACAATATATTAAGTCAAGATTCCTTTTTTTAACAAGACAGAGGAAGAACAAGCTACAGCAGAATTTCCTCCTCTCCCAAGTGCACGGATATTTGTTTCTCCTTATTCCAGAGAAAAATGATCTTGATCCAGACAGTGGATTTCTTAGCTTCAGTGTAAGTCTTTTCACGCAGCCTTAGCCTTGGCAGAGGAAATCTGTGCTTACATTTTAATACTAAGGGAAGGATCTTACGATAGTATAAGTCACAAGGCAGGCTGAACAGAATAATTTACTGATGGAACTTGTTAATGCAAAGCTTCCACTAAAATGGGACAATGCATTTGCAATGAAAACCTACTGCTTGGTCCACAAAAGTTTAATGCCACTTAACTGAAAACACCTAACATCTATTTTCTAAGAGTGACGGCCACTTGAGTAATGCAGTGACAGAATGTTAGCCTGCTTACTCAGGATAAAATTGCCACCTAATTTCCATAAAAGTCTTTTAAAACAGATGAAACATGGGACCGTTACCCTCCCCAGCATGTTTAATGCAGGCATTGGTTGAACGTCTCTGGCAGGACAAAAGAAAAGTTGTGAGAAGTTGAAGAGCGTTGCTATAGAAGCACAGATAACTGCACTGAGCCTGCCGTCCCGCAGCGATGAACAGAGGAAGTTCACATCACCCTTAATGCTATTGTCTCCGGAGGCTGGCTGCAGATGGGAACAGAAAGCCGTGTTTCCGTTTCCACCACAAAGGTTATCTCTCCTGTCATTAAAGCTCGAAGGAAATCCTCAGGGAGACCCTAATCCTTGAAATTCCAGTTCCTGTGCATTTCTGTTGTCGCACATAATCAATTATCATGCTCTCTACATTCACTGCACCAGCAACGGTAAAAATAGCGCTAAACTTCCATCTGTTGAATATATGCTTCCCAGAAATATTCATGTACTTGCTATGGGCTGGTTCGGCAGGGGAGTCCAACGTCAAGGTGTCAGGTCGTGGCCCCACGCTGGGAGAAGAGCAGGGTCAGGGTCAATGGTCCAGGGAGGACGTCCCTAGTTCAGAAACTCTGCAGTTGCAGGAGTGAGTGAACCCTAGGCTCAGG